GGAGTCTGCTTCTCCCTCTGACCCTCCTCCCTCTCATGCTCTCTGTCTCTCATTCTCTCTGTCTCAAATAAATAAATAAAATCTTTAAAAAAATAAAAAAATAAATGTTGGCAATCAGTTCAAATTGCTCTAAAATACTGTGAAGGCCAACAGAATGAGGGAAAGAATGAAAGGAAAGTCCTACTGAATCTAGCCTGAGCCAGTGTCACTTTCTGACCTAGAACAATACCTTCTTACAGGAAGACTGAGGCCTAAAGAAAGGAAACACTTAACCTCACACCATGAGGTGAGTTTGGGCCAGATGGGACTTTGAGCCCAAGTCCCTGGATTCCCAAGTAGAAGGTTTTTCCGAAAGGCAAACATTGTAAGTATTTCCTTTGCCTCCCACCAAGTGCTTCATGTTTTATTTGCTGACGAACCAAATAAAAATGACTAGTATGAATGCTTGCAGTACCCTTAGGTAAAAGTTCAAGCCAGTGTGATGGGCCCACAGTTGCATAGGATTTGCATGGGCCCTAGCCTGCATTCTACCCTTATTTATTATAATAATAGCACTAGATACCATTTTTTGAGCACTAGTTCTATGCCAAGCTCTGTGTTTTACTCACATCATATCATTTAGTCTTGTGATAAGCATATGACATATAGGTACTGCTATTACCTCCATTGAGGCTCAGAAAAGTAAAGTCACTTGCTCAAAGCCATAGCCCCCCATATTTATGGCTCCAAAGTTGATGGTTTTAACCACTGGGCTATACTATCGTTAACTCATTCATTCATTCATTCATTCAATGAATAGGTCAGTCACTCAGTCAGTCAAATAGTTACAATGTGGTGGTGCCAGATGCTAAGCCAGGCATTATGGGGGAATATGGCTCAAGTTCCAGTCTAAAGCCCAGAGGCTGAGGCTAACTGGATTCATATTCAACGCACATCCTATTCTTCAAATCCAAATAACAAGTGGTTCTTGAAACACACAGAAGGTTGGGCTATGTAATTTATACTTCAACAAAGTTCATTTATTTATTTTTAAAGATTTTATTTATTCATTTGACAGAGAGAGAGAGAGATAGCGAAAGCAGGAACCCAAGCAGGGGGAGTGGGAGAGAGAGAAACAGGCTTCCCGCAGAGCAGGGAGCCCAATGCGGGGCTCGATCCCAGGACCCTGGGATCATGACCTGAGCTGAAGGCAGACGCTTAACAGTCGACTGAGCCACCCAGGCGCCCCAACAAAGTTGATTTAAAAATGAGAAGTAACAATCACCTCTAAATGTTTAGAGATCCTGTTCAAATGAAAAGACTGTACCAACGCACTCATATTTAGTAGACTAGATTGACTGAGGACCAGCCCCACTAGTAGGAGGAATACAATGGCTGACTGCTAGGATAAAGGGTTTGCACTTTAAACCTGAACTCAATGGGTAGACAAATCCTACAGACACAAAGAGAATTGTGCCTTAGCCAGCAGGAGCACCTTGAATCCTACAAAGAGAGACTGGAGGGATGAAGGCTACTTGGGAGGTTATTACGTGGAAAAAGAGGAGGAATGAGTAATGAAATTATTTCCAGGTACATTCAGCAGGAGTAAAGTATAAATACCCAGATTGTCACTTAAACTCTCTGGAACCAGGGTTCCAGCAGGCTCTTCATTAAAGAAAACAGTGTGATGGAAAGAGAGGACTTTTGGGGGCTCAAATCCTAGTTCTTCAACTTTCTAACCCCGTGCAAGGGTACATATAACATCTCAGAACCTCAATTTCCTGATTGGCAAAGTAGGTATAATAATATCTACCTGCTAAGGTTCTTGTAAGGGAGAAATAAATGGTGTAATATATATCAAGCACTTGGTATATGGAATATGACACATATTCAGTGTTCATTTCTTTCCTCGGTTTCCTTGTAGCTTCAAGTGGAGTTGGCATATATGTACTTACCTGTTACGGGGCAGAGGAGATCAAATAAACAGCGTTTGTCTCCATACAGCACCATGAGAAACCTCACAGTGGTGTTCTGAGAGCACTACAAATTTTGAAAGCGGTTTTCAACAGTCAGAGAAAGATTATATTTTTACTGGGTTGAATGAGAAGGAAGAACTTCTCCTGGACAAAAGCCCTGGTCCAAAGAGAGCTGGACATCCATAACAAGTCCCTTGTCTCTCTTGCTTCAACTCCTTATCTGTAGAAAAGGGATGGTCCTCCTTGTCCACCTTAGAGAAGTGTTTATGGGGTACTGGCTGTCAGAGGGGTTGCGAAGCTCATCCACCGCGCACGGAACCCTTCAGTGTTTGCGGCTCCGTCCTCTCCCATAGGGCTGTGACCACCTCAGCGAGCGTCGAGTCTGACCCTCACTTTCCTGGTCACACTATGCACGTCCCACCAGGAAGTCCTTTTTTTACGTTCATTGCTTTAAAATCCATCTGTATTTACCCCTATAGTGCGGCTTCTTCGTTTTCCTTAGTGATTGGGTGCAGATCATCTTAACGGTATTGGTTAAAGTATCTGCCCGTTATCTTTCCCAGGACCCGGTGGGGGAAATGGGTGGGGGGAAGAGAGAGAGAATGTCATAAACTTAGCTGTTTTATTGGCTCCGGTGGGGACGTACGGCGAGGGCGTGGGCGGTTCAAATTTGTGATTGGTTCTTATGTCCGTCAATCATGCTGCCGGAACTCAAGTCTCTCGCCCGTACTACGCCCGGTTGGCTGTTGGAGACGGGAGCTCGCCCCTCGCTCGGTTGCCGTGGTTGCAGGCCGGACCCGCCCGCTCGCCCGCTGACAGCGAGGCTTTGGGCGGAGGAAGCGGGTCGGTTGGTCGGTCGGGAACGAGGCTCCCGCGGCCAGGCCCGCGCAGAGCCGTTGCCATGGCAGCCGCCGCCGGGGGCGCGGACGACGAGCCGCGCTCGGGCCACTCAAGCTCGGAGGGCGAGTGCGCCGTGGCGCCGGAGCCGCTGACGGGCCCCGAGGGCCTCTTCTCCTTCGCGGACTTCGGATCCGCGCTGGGCGGCGGCGCGGGCCTCCCGGGCCGGGCGTCCGGCGGGGCCCAGTCCCCGCTGCGCTACCTCCATGTCCTGTGGCAGCAGGACGCGGAGCCCCGCGATGAGCTGCGTTGTAAGATTCCCGCCGGCCGGCTGAGGCGCGCCGCCAGGCCCCACCGGCGGCTCGGGCCCACGGGCAAGGAGGTGCACGGTGAGGAGCGCGGCGGGAGGCGGGGCCCTGACCTCCCCCGACCCCGACCAGGACGGGGTCCTCGCACGACTGAGCTCCGGGCCCACAGTGACCCCTGAGTCTCCTTCTAGTAGTAATCAGGATGTAGAGCGGCTAAGGACCGTGAATGTGAAAGAGACGGTCTTGAAGCACTTGGTAATTCCTGAATAGAAACTTTTCGTGACTCCAGGTGTTTATTAGATTAAAAAAAAAAAAAAAAAAGGTTGGGGTACTGGCGATGCTTTTATTATCAGAGAAGGGAGGCCAGAGCCTGTAGCCAAGTTCTACCAGCTTGTTTAAATGCACAGACCGGGATTGGACTCTTCTACCTCGCTGAAGCCTCAGGCAAACTAGAACCTTTCAGCCTTAGTTTTCTCGTCTGTACATGAGTACAATACTTGCTTTACAGGGATGTTGCCAGAGTTAAGTAAGGTGATGAATCCGTAGAGATTATTCTGCTTTTGTTGTGTGCCAAACACTGTTGGGTGGTATGTGATCATTTTTAATCCTCACAATAACTCAATGAGATCCAGATACTGTCCCCATTATATGGAAGAGGAAACTGAGGCTCGGAGAGATTGCCTTGCTCCAAGTTACAGAGCTAGTAAGTGGCTGTGCTGGAATCAGAACCCACCTCTGCCAGACTCAAACTCCTGTTCTTTTATGTCCACTGTACTGTTTTTCACATGTTGTGGATGACATGGAAATCAAGGCCCTGAAAGAGAATGGGGCCTTTTAGTGTCCCCTTTAGGACTATCTGTGATTCCACCCATATCTTAGTGATGCTGTAGAAATTAAATGAGACTTTGAAAGTGCTATATAAACCATAAAGTGCTATACAAAAGTAAGGAATCATTAAATGTATCTGGGTTGCAATTTTGACCATTTCTCCAATGACAAAGGCATTGTTCTCTATTAGCCGCTAATACAGAGGTAGTGTCATTGTAGTAGAAAAACGTTTCTGCTTAGGAATTACCAAATTTAAGTAAGTTATTTGGGAATGGCCTCTTTTGGAGAATCTAAGATTATCCGTGTAACCGACTCACACAGAGCTTCAATCTAAACATTTCATTTTGTTTTTACAACTCCGGGCTCTTAGGGCAGGGCTCAAGTTTTGTTTTTTTTTTTTCTTTTTTCTTCAGATGATAAACCTGAGGCCCAGGAGGGTTAACTCACTTGCTCAAGGTCACCCAGCTACTATAAGTGGCAGAGCCAAGATCTGGCTCCAAAGGCCTTGAAGGATTTGCTACAGAATGTGGCTTTTTTCACTAGCTCTGCCACGTTTCCGGTCTTTCCTTGTTCCCAGTGTCTCTTGTATCCTGGTACCTTTCTTTCCCTTTAGATGTTGTCGTGGGTGAACTGTGGATTAACCAGGCAGCCATCCACTTTCAGCTTCATCATGACTGTTTTATTTTGGTTTTAACTGTAACTCTTTTCCTCTCTTTACAGCTCTGAAGAGGCTGAGGGACTCGGCCAATGCCAACGATGTGGAAACAGGTGAGTGTGCAAAGCCAGGTCTAACTCCGTGGGATGGTTAAGGAAAGCAAAATCTGGGCAACCCATTCCTGGGAAGACAGTGCTTGCATTCAGTATGCCCGCTCACCCTGTGGACGAGGCTCATTGTATATATTCTATAACTGTAATCGTCTCGCAAAAGATAAGTCTGGCTTAGATGCTTACTCTTCCTGTGCTTTTCTGTCACCCTGAACTTCCTGATGTCATAGTGTTGATCACTCTGTGGGCTCCTTGATGTTGGGACCATGTCTGCTTTTGTATCCCTGGCAGCCAGCAGCAGGGTAGAAGCTTTTTAGAACTTCCGGTTCCTGGGAATGGACAGTCAGCTTTAGCTGCCAGCAGAGTCACCGTCGGAACAGAGCCACCACCTTCAATTGCTCCCCGAGGCTTTGTGGTAGTTGGGTCAGTGGTTCTCAAACTTGTTCAGTTGACAGAACATCGGACAGGAATGGGAGGGGCTCCCAGCAGGACGCCACTCTGGTTTTCTGTTGTTGCTCCCCAGTGTTCCTTGGCTGACAGGACAGTAGCAACATCAGAGGTACAAGGACAAGTTCTAGGGGAAAACTTGTAATTTTATCCAGATACGAGTTTTCTAGGGCTGCTGCAACAAATTACCACAAACATAGTCGTTTAAAACAACACAAATTTCTTAGCACATAATTCTGGAGGTCAAAAATCCAACACAGGTCTCACCACGCTGAAAGCAAGATGTCAGCAGGGTTGCATTTCTTTCTGGAGGCCCTAGGGGAGACCCTGTTTCCCTGCCTTTTCCAGCTTTTAGGAGCCACGCACACTCCGTGGCTCATAGCTTCTCCCTCCATCTTCAGCAACAGTTGACTGAGTCCTCACACTGCTGTGTCTCTGGTTCACACAGCAGGGAAAGGTGCTCTGATTTTAAGGACTCATGTGATTAGTTTGGGCCTGAATAATCCAGGATGATCTTTTCAGCTCAAGGTCCCTAACCTTATTCATATCTGCAAAGTCTTCTTTGCTGCATAAGGTAACATGTCCAATAAACTCTGAGGATTAGGACATGGACATCTTGGGGGCCGTGATCCTACCTACCTCAAGTGGACATCATTCTGTTTTGGTGGTGGTGGTGTGCTACGGTCAACAGAGAAGACGTGAGCGTCGCTTGAGAGCCGTGGGATCAGAGAGCCCATTTACAGCCGGCGTGGAGAGGAAGTCATTTACCTCAGGGGGCTGGGTGTTAAAATGTGGGCCTTAAAATGGTTCCCTTACCCCAGCTCTTTTCACTTTGGTCTCTTTTCCATGAACTTTAATATTTTGGAATATTTGAACAGCAACCTAGATAGCTTTTCAAGGAAAAATGATAAGTGTTCTCTTTTGAATATCTCTAGTGTGTGGCTGGAGAATATTTGAATTATACTTCCCTTCCACAGAAAGCCTAGTTCATCTTGAATCAGGTACTCACATGGTGGTTTCAGTGTTTTGACAGAAATGCTGTAATGTTCCAGTCAGAGTCTCTAACACACCCATGTTCAAAGCTAAATGGCTATCAGATTGACCAGCCTCTTGCAGGACTCTGCTGGTGACCCTGGCTCTGGGGTTAGGCTCTGTTCCTTTTCTCTTATGGTTTGCATTTCCTTTTCCTTCTCTGCATGTTTGTTGGGGTTTTGGTGTAGTTAAGCAGTTGTAATGGACACAAAATTGATGCCCTGCTACTGTTAAATCATAATATATTTTCATATATATGAAAAAAATATACATTTAAAATGTTTGGGAGATGAGGGAAATATGCAAGAAAAACATCCATAATCAGCACAGGAACTAATCTCTGTAAATATATTGGTGACTATCCTAGTCCTTTTTCCTATGCAGAGAAATGGGCTTGCAAACTGTGCCAGATACACAATTTTGTATCCCGCGTAACTTTTCATGGTTTTTGTAACCATTCATTTTTTTTCAAAAGGGAAACGTCTTTTTTTCCCTATTGACAGAATGAATACATGGCTGTATGATTTTTTTTTTAAGCTTATAAGGTGAAAAGCAGGAATTACCTTATAATTCCATTCTCCAGTTATAACCACAATTTATAATGGATGCCCACTATGGCCTTCAGAGGAACAAAGCAAAAGTTATTTAGTTAGGGCGCCTGGGTGGCTCAGATGGTTAAGCATCTGCCTTCGGCTCAGGTCATGATCCCAGGGTCCTGGGATCGAGTCCTGCATCGGGCTCCCTGCTCCTTGGGAGCCTGCTTCTCCCTCTGTTTCTCTCTCTCTCTATCATGAATAAATAAATAAAATCTTTAAAAAAAAAAAAAAGTTATTTAGTTAGTCATACATTTGCACAATGGTTTTTCTTTTGCGGGGAAGGGCAGAGGGAAAGGGGGAGAGAGAATCTTTTTTTTTTTTTTTTTTTTTTTTGGAGAGAGAGAATCTTAAGCAGGTTCCATGCTCAGCATGAAGCCTGACGTGGGGCTCGATCTTACAACCCTAAGATCGTGACCTGAGCTGAAATCAAGAGTCGGACACTTAACCGACTGAGCCCCAGTTTTTCATTTTTAAGATAATTTCCCAGGTATGGGGTTATCACGTCCAAAGGTGTGCGTATTTTGATGAGTTCTCGAAGTGCTTTCCAAGAAGACTAACTGCGCAAGTCCTAACAGAGAGGGGACTCTTTTAGCTTTGTCTTATCTCTTTGGCTGGCTAGCTTTTGGTGAATGTACTGAACTGACTGGAAGCTCTTCTTTCTCTTCCACTCTCATAAACCTTTTCCTGCCACCTTTATTCATTTCTTCAATCAGTCAACAGCGTTCATGGAGCTGAACAAGTCCGATCTTGATCCTAGGTATTAAGATAAACAAAACGATATAATTGGAAACAATATAAAGTGATAACATTTTTCTAAAACAAAACCCCCAGAAAAACTGAAGTTATGTATTTAGTTGGAGAGGCAGAAGTTCTGGAGCTAGAGAAGCCTGGGTTTCTATTCCCAGCTTTGCCTCCTGGTAGCTGGGTGAGTGTACCTGGGGCCCTTCACAGAATGGGACACTTCTCCTGGTTTGTGAAATGGACACGATGCTTGGCTGGGTGGGCAGGGGGCTTAGCAGACAGGTGCCTGGTGCCAGGCTGGTGCTCGACGTACGCTCCAACGCCCTAAAATGGCACAGCCTGTTCACGTTAGAGTAGCAGGGTGAACAGGGCCCTGAGGAGACGCGGGAGCTGGAGCGGCCACCTGAGCCTGAGGAGAAAGAGGAGGAGGGGATTCTGGGCTTTGTCTGGAGTCCTTGAGAGATTTGCTGGCGGAGACTAAACTGTTGGTGGCTCTAAAATGATGTCTGGCAGCAATTTCTACATTTCAGTTGGACATACGCATGTGGCGCGTAATGCCTCACAGTTTATAATGGCTCCGTGTTTTGCAGAGAAGGCATTTCACATCCATTATTCTCATCATAGCAGCTCTGGAGATGGGCAGGGCGATTATTCCCATTTGCTGGTGAATTGGGACCCCAATTCAGGCCTTCCTACCCCCAGCCCAGCTCTTTCCACTGCCCCATGCTGTTGGCAACGTACTCCTGTCCTCATTGCTCAGCTGAGCCTGGGACTTGGTCAGTGCGGCCCCACATCTGCACTCTGGCCTCTCCGGAGGGCCACCTCCCAGGAGCAAAGGAGGCATCGCCCAACAGCTCAAGCAGCTGTGTCCGACCAGAATGGATGTGTATCCAAGTGGATGTGAGGCCAGAGTCTGTGCTAGGGATTTCTGTGACGCTAGAACTCCTGACTCTGAGGGCCAAGACCCTTCTATGATGTTCTGTCCCTAGACTCAGAGTTCGAGCAGCCAGAATCTGTGGTCCTCAGTCATGCCCTCAGGAGAACAAGTCCCTTGTCTTGGCATCCAGGCGGGAAGAGCTCTCCCCTGCCTTCTCAGTGCCTTGCCGGGAAGTGCCCCTGAGCATCCCTCTTCACGCCCTGGGGGCCGCTGCTTAGCTAGCACTGCCTCTCTGTCCCCCCGCCCCTCTGTCTTGGTGGTGTCAGTGCAGCAGCTTCTGGAAGATGGCGCCGATCCCTGCGCAGCTGACGACAAGGGCCGCACAGCTCTGCACTTCGCCTCCTGCAATGGCAACGACCAGATCGGTGAGTCCTGGGCAGGAGGGAGGGAACAGGGCTGGCCGAGGTGCTGGGGGAAGATCTGCGTCTGCACAGCCAGGGTTGGGGCCAGGCCTTCAAGACATTCAGGCAACATTTACTCAGTGCCAAGGCACCAGCAGGACAAACCTCCTTCCCCCTTTTTAGAGTCCTTTTCGCATGTGGTATAACTTATAAACAGTGAACTCTCTATGTATGCCCTGGCATTACCACCACCCGGATCAAGATAAAGAATATTTTCAGGGGGCGCCTGGGTGGCTCAGTCGTTAAGCGTCTGCCTTTGGCTCAGGTCATGGTCCCAGGGTCCTGGGATCGAGCCCCGCATCGGGCTTCCTGCTC